GGGGGGGGGGGGGGGGGGGGGGGGGGGGGGGGGGGGGGCTGCAGGGGGGGATGGACAAGGATGTGGAGAGGAAGTGCTGGGGGGATGGAGAGGGAGGTGAACATGCTGGGGGGTGATAGTGGTGAGGTGTGAAGGTGAGGGCCCGTGTCGGAGGTGATGTCACTGTGCCAACCTGACCCGCTGTGGAGGCAAAAGACTGATTTAATGAGTCTGATCCGACCAGTGCCGGGGGTGGAGACGGGCCCTGGGACCCTCCCCATGCTGATGCCCCCCATGTGTCCCCCAGGCCAACGAGGTGGTGGCTGAGGTGAAGAGGAAGCAGGAGAAGAAGGAGAAGAAGAAGAAGAAGCGGGAGAAGCGGCGGCTGGAGGCCCTGGCAGCGGCGGCCGAGGAGGCAAAGGAGGAGAACTCGGTGATGGAGACAGAGGTGAGGAGGGGGCTGGGGTGGGACCCTCATGGGGGGCCGTGGGGTTGCCCGGACCCCACAGGGTGGGGGAGGCAGGACGGGGGGCAGAGCTCCCCCTGACCCTGGTTCTCCCCTCAGGAGAACGATGTGGGGGCCAAGAAGAAGAAGAAAAAGAAGAAGCAGCAGGTGGAGGAGTCAGAGCCAGAGGCTGAGCCGGAGGCTGAGCCTGAGGAGAACGGGCTGGAGGAGGAGGAGGAGGAGGAGCAGCCCCTGCCCAAGAAGAAAAGGAAACTCACAGTGGAGCCCGAGCAGGAGGAGGAGGAGGAGGAGAAGAAGAAGAAAAAGAAGAAGAAGAAGAAGGCAGTGGCCCAGGACTTGGAGGAGGATTAGGGAGCAGGGGCTGGAGCAGGAGCTCCAGCACACGGACAGACGGACTGAGATTGAGGGACAGGAGGAGCTCGGGGTGGCCCCTTGCCGTGTCTCTGCAGTGTTCTGGGCGTGTCCTGTGGCACAGTGGCCACACTGAACGTCTTGTGGCCCCTGAGGGCCTGGGTGAGTCCTTTGGGCACCGGCAGCCCCTGGGCTGTGCCTTACAGTGTTGCCCCAGCCCCCCGTGTTCCTTCCTGGGGGTTTGGGTGCACGTGGGGTGTCCCTGGGCCGTGTCCCCTGCCCTGGGGGGCCTGGGCTGTGTGTGGCCCTGTCCCCCCCCTGTGCTGTGCAGGGGCAGGACCTGCTCGGGCTGATCAGGCCCCAATAAAGGGCTGAGGTTGTTGTGTACCCCTCCTGTCCTGGTGTGTGCCAGGGGGTGCCCTCGCTCTCCCCTCTGGCACAGGGACACGATGGCACCGTGGTCACGCCTGAGGCCACTTTATTGGAGGGAAGGAGTGATTTACCAGGTGGGCAGGGCAGGAGCCGGGAGGGCACCACCCCGGGCACTACCCCTCCAGGGCATCTATCACGGCCTGGGTGAAATCCAGGGAGGTGGAGTAGCCCCCCATGTCCGCCGTGCGCACCTGCAAGGAGAGGGGAGGGTTAGGGAGGGGGAGGGACCCCGGCAAAGGGACCCCCAGCCCCGGCCTGGGCAGTGCCACGGTGGGACAGGGGCCCTCGGCAGCCCCCAGACTGTCCCTGCACCCCGGGGGCTGGAGGGGGAGCTGTGGGGACACAGGGGGAGGCTGAAGCCCCCCCATGCCCCACAGAAGGTGGGGGGCATCAGACACCCCAAACTGGGTGCCCACAGGCACTGCAGACTCTGGTTCCAGCACTGCCCCCCTATTGCAGAGCAGCCCCTCCCCAGGCAGAGCTCCTCCCCAGGCAGAGCTGCTCCCCAGGAGGGGATGGGGGGAGCTGAGGCTGAGCCCCCCTCTCCCCCAGCCCAGCACCCCCCAGGCCGTGACCCCCCGGGCCGGAGGGAAGCGTTGGACCCTTTATTAGCAAGCAGGAGTTACAGAGCACAGCACAATGACAGCCCAGCTCCCACCCCACAGCAACCCCAGGAGCCACAGGGGCCCCTGGGCTCACACTGGGGCTGGTCCCTGGTCCCAGGAGCCACCAGGACCCCCAGGGTGGCACCATGGCTGGTCCCAGGAGCCACAGGGCCCCCTGTCCCTGTGCCAGCAGCAGACAGGGGGAAGGAGGGTGGGGGAGCCCTGTGGTCCCGTTTATTGCTTAAAGCTTCATGGGAATGGGGGTCCCACAGTGACGGGGGTCCCATGGCAATGGTGGTCCCACAGTCACGAGGGGCCATGGAATGGTGGTCCCACAGTACTGGTGGTCCCAATGTCCCTGGAAGCTGCCTGTGCGTTTGGGGCACTGCCCCGTCCCCCCCTGTCACCCCAATGGCCCCTGAGATCCGCCCTGGCCTCCCATGGAGCCATCCCTACTGGGGGAACTGGGAGTGGGGGGACGGGGTTACTGGAGGTACTGGGCTGGACAGGGGGGAGCCCCCCTTCTCCCCGGGGGGGCTGGGGCAGCTGGGCCGGGGCAGGGGGGGCTGGGGAGGGGTTTGGGGGGCCGAGGCGCTGTGGGGGCTGCCGGGGGGCCTAAGCCCCGTAGTGGGGGTGCAGGTTGTCAATGACGGACTTGACGAAGTCGGAGGTGGTGGAGTAACCGCCCAAGTCCCGAGTCCGGACCTGCAAATCCAACACAGGGAGGGGAGAAACGGGGAAACTGCTGGTGAACGAGGGAAACAGCTCCCAGAGGGACAGGAGAGGAGAGAGAGGAGCCCCTTGAGTGCCCTGGGGATGGAGCCACGGAGGGTCCCTTGAGCGCCCTGCTAGGACTTGGGGTGGGGAAAAGGCCATGGAGGGTCCCCCAGCCCTGCCAGGACCTGGGGTGGGGATGGGGGTCACAGAGGGTCCCTCAAGCGCCCTGCTAGGATCTGGGGTGGGGAGAAGGCCATTGAGGATCCCCCAGCCCTGCCAGAGGTCCCTCCCTTGCCAGCACATGACCCCGGGGCCTAGTGAAGGAGAGAGGAGAGGAGAGCAGCCAGGATTCCAGCTGGAAAGAGGAAAGGAGCCAGGATTCCAGCTGGAAAGAGGAAAGGAGCCAGGATTCCAGCTGGAGAGAAGAGCCAGAATTCCAACTAGAAGAGAAGAGGAGCTGGAATTCCAGCGGGGAGAGGAGCTGGAATTGCAGCTGAAGAGAGGAGAGGAGCCAGAGCCCCGCCCAGGACACGGAGCAGTGTGACACGGCACAGTGACACCGCAGGTGACAGAGCCCCGCCCGACCCACCGCCCCACACTCACTTTGCCGCCTTTGATCACCTTCTTCACCGCGTCCGAGATCACGTTGGAGTGGTGTTCCAGGCTGGGGAGGGGAGGGCAGTGGGTCAGCCCCCTGCAGCCCCCAGCAGCCCCCCAGCAGCCCCCAGGAGCCCCCTGCAGCCCCCAGCAGCCCCCAGGCCAGCCCAGCACGTACTTGAGGTGCCGCAGCATGTTGGAGGCCGACAGCAGCATGGCCGTGGGGTTGGCGATGTTCCTGCCCACGGCCTGGGCGAAGGGGTGCCGGGCACCCTGCGGGACAGAGGCCACGGTGAGGGGCCCCGTGCCACCCTCGGTGTCCCCGGGGCCCCCCAGCCCCCCAGCCCAGCTCACCAGCTCGAACACGGCGTACTCGGCGCTGTAGCTCTCCCCGGGCACGACGCCCGCGCCGCCCACCAGCCCCGCCGCCAGGTTGTCCACGATGTTCCCGTACAGGTTGGGCATCACCAGCACGTCGAACTGGTACGGGTTCTGCACCAGCTGGGGGGCACGGGGGGCACGTGAGGCCCTGCATGCCTGGGGGCAGCTCGACCCACCCCTGGGACACGGCAGGGGGGGCAGAACACAGGGGGGCTGGGGGGCTGGGTGAGCTCCAAGGTCTCCTCCAGAGCCTAACAGAGCTCCAGGAGAGCTGGAGAGGGATTTGGACAAGGGATGGAGGAACAGGGCAAGGGTCCAGGTGCAGCTTTCGGGGTTCCAGCTCCTGGGGGAGCAGCGGTGGGTGGTGCAGGAGGGCTCAGGTTTGGGGGGCTCACCTGCATGCAGCAGTTGTCGATGATCATGGTGTCGAATTTGATCTTGGGGTACAGCTCTGCCACCTCCTTACAGCACTGCAGGAACAGCCCGTCCCCCAGCTTCCTGCAGAGGGCAAACACCGGGAAGGGTTGGTGGGAAACAGGGGAATCCTTATGGCACCAGGGGTCCAACAGGAACTGCAGGTGCCCAACTGGAACTGGGGTCTGTGATAAGAGTTGGGGCTTCTGGTGCTGCTTTGTTCCTCCCCCCCTCAGCCCCTCTCTCCCTTTCTGCCACCTCTGAGAGGAATGTGGTTTGTGCCAGGCAAACACACCTGGAAGGACTTGGAGAGCACAATTTCCTGTCTCAAGCACTGTCAAGGCCACAAAAGGAACCTCCCAGGAGATAAACCAGAACAGCAGGAACTTGAGGTAAGCACAGATGGCAGGAATTTACACCAGGACGGTGCTAATTCCAGGTTTGGTCAGTTAATGCACCCCGTCAGATTCCCACGTGGCAAACTGGGAAAGGAACTGACTGCTCACGCACGGCACCCCAAGTCATGGGAGTGTCCGTGACCTCCCTGTCAGAGCTGGGGCTGTGCAGAGGTGGGAGAGGACAGCTTTGTTCTGGAGCTGCTGCACCGACCCCAGTCATCGGCACCTGCTCAGATCCGTGTCCCGCTCCCCGCAGGCCCTGTGACACCGCTGACAGCACACACCGCAGACGGGACCCCAGGGGTGTCCCCCGGCCCCGAGGGGACAGGGGTGCCCCCGGGCACTCACATGATGTTGGCCTTGTGCACGGCTGTGACCTTGCCCCGGCCCTTCTTGGTGGCGTAGTCGAAGGCGAACTTGGCGATGCGCTGGGACTTGGCGCGGGTGATGATCTTCAGGCACTCGATCACCCCCTTCACACTCTGGGGGCACAGGGGGGCACACGGGGGGGTCACACACAGCACAGCCCCCCAGCAGCTCCCCAGCACCCCCCTGGCTCGGGCTGGACAGAGTTCTGCCCCCAGTAGCTGCGATTTAGGGTGAGGATGATGATGGCAACAGGCAGATGTCGTGGGGGTTGCTCGCCCCAAATTAAGGACATTTCAGTGCCCCCCCCTCTGCCAGGGCACGAGAATTTGGGGAGGACTGGCCAAAGGGGGGTCCCAGCTCACAGAATGTCCAGCCCAGGACAGAAACTGGGGAAGGCAGTTACTGCTGGGCACTGGTCAGTGGGTGGTGGGAGAGTGACTGGGCATCGCTTGTTCCACCCGGGGTCTGTTCATCTCCCTCTCCTTATATTTATTATATTGCATTTATGTAATTTATTATGTATAATGTATCATTATCTGTATTATTCTTGTATGTATATTATAATTGTACTAACAATACTTATATTTTAGTACTAGTAGTTAGCATTAATATTGCTGCTCTTATTATTTTGTTTCAACTATTAAATTTTTCTTATCCTTCCACTTTCACCTTTTCTTTCCTGTTCTCCTCCCCCTGGGGAGGGAGAGGGGGGTACTGACAGCTGGGGTTAATGCAGGACAACATCATGTCCTCTTGTCCCTTTTTTCTCCTGCAGCCCCCCCACCCTCACTGGGGCTGGGTGTGTCCATATCCCTAAAAACTCCTGTAATTCCATCACTGCTGCTCCAGGCGCTTCCACGCTGTGCTCAGCATGGAATCAGGGAATCGTGGAATGGTTTGGGTTGGAGAGAACTAAGAGCTCATCCAGCCTCACCCAGGGACACCTTCCACTGTCCCAGGGCTTGGACACTTCCAGGGATCCAGGGGCAGCCACAGCTTCTCTGGGAAATCCATTCCAGGGCCTCCCCCCCCTCACAGGGAGGATCTTCTTCCCAGTATCCCATCCATCCCTGCCCTCTGGCAGTGGGAACACGTCCCTCCAGGCCTTGTCCCCAGTCCCTCTCCAGCTCTCCTGGAGCCCCTTCAGGCCCTGCCAGGGGCTCTCAGCTCTCCCTGGAGCCTTCTCTTCTCCAGGCTGGACATTCCCAGCTGTGCCAGGCTGGCTCCTGGCCCCGGCAGTGCCCACCCCAGCAGTGCCCACCTTGGCAGTGCCCACCCCA